TCATGTTAATCCATGTGCCCATATGGGGTGAATAACAGAGAATAGCTTTGCAGGTTTGAAATTTATGTGAATACATAAGTCCATTTCTCCTGCAACTTTTTTAAAAAACTAAACAACTGGTGTATCTATAGTTCATTTATGACCTGTGTGTATGAGGATGTAATATTCTCCCCTTTGTTACATATATTCTATTACGTATATGTGCCACCATGTATTTTCCATTCCCTTGCTGGTGGACACTGGGCTTGTTCCAAGGTTGTTTGTTTTTTTAGCATGGAGAAAAAAATAAGTAAAATTAGGAGTTTAAAAGTCCAAATCTTCAACAGTGTTAGTGACTCTTAGTGAAATGGTAGTTTTCAGTTACTTCACAGAATGAATACTAAGAATAGGCTAAAAAAAAATCTGAAAACTCTCTCAAAGGATCAGATATGGAAGTGAAGAAACAGCAGCTGAAGAGCTGGCCTAACCCTAGCTTTCTGGCCACATGGTGAAGTGCTTTGAATACTTTGTCTTCGTCAGCTCGTGCCTTTATACTGAAATTCAGCTTTAACATACACAGATCCATCCTCTCGCAGTGTAAGTGGCTAAAACCCCAGATCAGGGTACAGGCTGGGGGGAAAGGCTTTCTCTGAGCACTGTAGGAGGACTCTTGTCTTAGCTCCAGCATTCTTCTCAGCATCCCTCCCAAGAGTAGGGCATCTCATACCATGAGGGAGAACCAGCTTTGTTACCCACCTCCTGCTGTTCTGGGGAAATTTAAATCATTTCAATATTCCCAATCTGCCTATGTAACCTAACCATAAATGTGAGCAGTTAATTAACTTTGACTCAATCTCCTTTAAAAAAAAAAAAAGAAGCAATTATACAATAAAAATGGTTCCAAAGTAGGAGAAACTTGGAATAGAATGGCTTATTTAAACAAAGCTATTTGTATGCACTTGGGTCCCCAAAATGTCAAGGCAGTAACATTTATCTGTGCCTCCATCCCACAGACCAAAAAGTACTTAAACAAAACCTCTACTCAGTTTTCAGATTTTCCCTGAAGTATTCTTTACCCTCTCTTACTTTTTCATAAGAGACCTTATGACAGGAACATTCCATTACATTCTATCTGCAATCAACTCTAATCTCAGGGGCAGGTTTGCTGCCAGCATAACACCCTTATAATGTAGCTAACACATGTGGCTATAACAAATTCAGTTCACTTTTGCTACATTTCTAGGTTCAGCATGCATGCAATCTCCCAATCTAAAATCAATGATTTGTTGATTGTTGTTATTTTTAAACAAGTCTTTAATTTAAAACTTTCTAAACACAACTTCTTTCATCCAAGTGGCTCTCCAACCACTTAAAAATTAGTTGCATTACATATGCAAAATTACTAA